ATTTTTAAGTATTTTTAAATTTTTGTTGTTTTGGATTGTGTTGTTTGATGAAGTTGTTTTTGTTGTTTGTTACTTTTGTTTTTATTTTTTTGTCTAAGGGTAGTAGTTTTTCTTGTTTGGTTAATTATTATGTTATTCAGGAGGTTTGTGGATATTATTTTTTAGTTTTTGATAATTGGAAGTTGCAGTTTTTTTTATTGATGTTGAAATCTGGCTCTGCTCCTTTTCATTTTTGGTTGTTTAGAGTGTTATCTGGTATGAAGAGTTGGTTTATTTTGTGGTTTTTGACTTTGCAGAAATTGCCTTTATTTTTTTGTTTTGGTTAATTTTTGTAGTGTTATTTTTTTTTTATTTTTGTTTTTTGGTATTATTTTTTGTTATTTTCAGTTTTTTTTTTACGTGGTTATGTTGATATATTGGTTGTTGGTTCTACTGAATCTTTTAATTGATTGTTGTTGTTGGGTATGTTTTCTTTTAATGAAGTTTATTTGTTATTTTTTTTTTATTATTTTGTTATAGTTATTGTTATTTCTTACATTTATAATAATAATTTAAATTTTTTAGTTTGGAAATGTTGATGGTTTTTTTTAATGTTCCTATGAGTATTACTTTTTTTTGAAGGTGTTGTTGTTTTTTGGTTCTTTTGAGTTTGTTGGTTATTATTATTTTTTTATTTTGATTGTTATACCTTTAATGTCGTTGGGTGTTAGTTATTTGTTTTTTTTAGTTTCTATATTAAGTTATAATTATGGTTTGAAGTATTATGATTATTTTGTTTATTTGTTGTTTTGTGTTGGTTTACTTTCTGTTTTTTAAAGCTGTTTTAGTTTAATTGTAGAATGTCTAATTTGTAATTAGTGGGTTTTATCAGTTTGTATTTTTGATTTTTTATTGTTTTGTTATTTTTTTTAATCCTTTTTTGTTTTTTATTTTTTTCTTATTTTTGTTTTAAGTGGGTTTTTTGATTTTTCTTGGTGTGGTAGTATTTTTTTTTTGATTCTTATAATTTTATTTTTTTATCTTTTATAAGTGTTTTTGTACTCGGTTTTATTTGTGTTTCTGAGTTACTAAGTAGTTTAGTTTTTTATAGTTGTCTTGTTGTTTTTTTTAGTGTTTGTTTTTTTTATTCTGGTAGATTGTTGTTGCTATATGTTTTTTATGAATTGACTATATTGCCTATTTTGTTTTGTTTGCTTGGGTATGGACGTCAGGTTGAGAAGATTAGGGCTTGTTATTATTTAGTTTTTTATACTTTGTTTTTTGGTATGCCTTATTTGTTTTTGTATAGTCATGTATTTTATTTTTTTAATTTTGTTTATTATGATTTTTTTGTATCTTTTGAGTTTATTTTTTTATTGAGATTATGTTTTTTAGTTAAATTTCCTGTTTATTTTTTGCATGTTTGATTACCTAAGGTTCATGTTGAGGCCCCTACTAGAGCTAGTATAATTTTGGCTGGTGTTATATTGAAGTTAGGAGGAGTAGGTGTTTATCGTATTAGTAAGTCTTTAAATTTTTTTGGTATTGAGTTATTGTTTTTTTTTTCTTTGATTAGTATGGTTTTTTGTTCTTTTATTTGTATGGTTCAGAGTGATTGTAAATCTTTAGCTGCTTATTCTTCTATTTGTCATATGGGGTTTGTTTTGTTATCTCAAGTTAGTATGGTTTATTATGGTAAATCTATGGCTTTAGTTATGATGTTGGCTCATGGTTATACTTCTGTTTTGATGTTTTATTTTATTGGAGAATTTTATCATATTGCTAGTAGTCGTTTAGTTTATTATTTGCGTGGGTATTTTAATGTTAGTATATTGTTTTGTTTTGGATTTTGTTTAACTATGATTTCTAATTTTGGTTTTCCTGGTTCTATTTCTTTTTTTTCTGAATATTTGATGTTAAATTTAGTTAGTTCTGTTTTTTTTGTTAGTGTTTTTTTTTATTTGTTTATTATTTAGTTTCTTTTTATTATTCAATTTATATTATGGTTTGTTTTTTAGTAGGTAGTAAGGTTAGTTATGTTGTTGATAGTCGTGTTGTTATTTGTTTGCCTTTGGTTTTGATGGCTTATAATTTTTTTTGATTTGTTTTTGTTATTTAGTATGAATGTTTTTTGTGGAATGACTTTTGGTAATGTTTTAAAGCAGAGTATTATTAATACTGTGAATCATAAGACTATTGGTACTTATTATATTGTTCTTGGTTATTGAGCTGGTTTGGGTGGATCTGTATTGTCTATGATTATTCGTTTTGAATTGTCCAGTCCTGGTGGTTATTTATTTTTTGGTAGTGGTCAGGTTTATAATTCTGTATTAACTATGCATGGTGTTTTGATGATTTTTTTTGTTGTTATGCCTATTTTGATTGGTGGTTTTGGTAATTGGATGTTGCCTATTATGTTAGGTTCTCCTGAAATGGCTTTTCCTCGTTTGAATGCTTTGTCTTTTTGATTTACTTTTGTAGCTTTGTTAATGGTTTATCAGTCTTTTTTATTGGAGGAGGACCTGGTAGTAGTTGAACTTTTATC